TGCGATCTGCTAAAGTGTCGAAGTGTCGCCACTTTAGAAGGCTGCTGGGGGGTCCAGCGGAGTGGCGTCTTACGCGGACCACCAGGAGACCTCGCCATCCCTGAGGGCTGCGGTCTGCGAAACCGTCGCAAGTTTCGAGGGCTGCTGGAAGGTGCATTTGCCTCGCCATCCTAATGGTGCTGTGATCTGCGAAGCCGTCGCCACTTTCAAGGGCTGCTGGGGGGTCGAGCGGAATGACGTGCTACGCAGACTCAGATTCGACCTTGCCATCCTGGCGGGGCTGCGATCTGCGAAACTGTCGCAAACGGTCGCCGCTTTCGAGAGTTGCTGGGGGTTCAAGCGGAGTGACGTGCTACGCAGACTCAGATTCGACCTCGCCATCCTGCGGGGCTGCGATCTGCAACGCTGTCGCCACCTTCGAGGGCTGCTGGGGGGCCCAGCAGAGTGGCGTCTTACGCGGACCGCCAAGAGACCTTGCCATCCCTGGGGGGTTGCGGTCTGCGAAACTGTCGCCATTTTCGAGGGCTGCTGGAAGGTGCATCTGCCTCGCCATCCTAATGGGGCTGTGATCTGCGAAACCGTTGCCACTTTCGAAGGCTGCTGGGGGGGGCAGCGGAGTGGCACCTTACGCAGGCCACCAAGAAACCTCGCCATCCCTGGAGGCTGCGATCCGCGAAATTGTCGCCACTTTCGAAGGCTGCTTGGGGTCGAGCGGAATGACGTTTTACGCTGACCACCAGGAAACCTCGCCATCCTGCGGGGCTGCGATCTGCGAAACGGTCGCCACTTTCGAGCGCTGCTGGGGGGTTCAGCGGAGTGGCGTCTTCCGCGGACCACCAAGAAACCTCGCCATCCCTGGGGCCCTGGGGGGCTGCGGTCTGCGAATCGGTCGCCACTTTTGAAGGCTGCTGCAGCAGCCTTCAAAAGTGGCGACCGATTACGCGGAACACCAGGAGACCTTGCCATCCGTGGGGTCCAGCGGAATGGCGCCTTTTTTCTGTTACCTGAGGGTTATTTCGGGGTCCGAGGTCGTCCGGAAGGAAGCAGAGAAACTGGCTGGCTGTCTTGGACGTCCCTTCGGCGGTTTTGGGGCCGTCTTGGGGCCCTCCTGGGGCGCTTTTGAAGCCTATTGGGCCGTCTCGGGACGATGAGGGGCCTCTTCGGGAAGCGGAGCATGCGAAAACGCTAACATTGATCAAACACCTGCGAACGTATCCATATGGTTTGGCCTCTCCGACCTTTCTTTGAAGACTTCTTGGGGGCCTCTTGGGTATCTTTGGGGCCTCTTGGGCCGTCTGGAGGCCGTCTTGGGCCGTCTAGTGGCCTTCAGCCCATCCCGCCACCGTGCCTGGGTTATGGGTTAGAGGCCTCTTGGAAGTTCGTTTGGGTATCGTGGGAGGCCGCTCGGGGGGCTTCTTGGAGGCAGTTTGGGAGGCCTCTTGGGGGCCTCTTTTTGGACACATTGTGGGCCTCATGGGGCCTCTGGGGGGCCTCTTGGGCTCTCTTTGGGGACTCTTGTGGCCTCCACGGGGCCTCTTGGGGCGGAAGGCTCGAATAATCGGTTCGTGTTCCCACTCTTGGGCCTCTCTTGGGGCCATCTTGGGTGATCTTGGGCGCCTAGTGGGCTGTGTTGGGGCTCTCTTGGACCGTCTTGGGGGCCTATTGGGCCGTCTTGTGGCGGTCTTGGGGGCCTTTGGGGCCATGTTGGAACGCCGGAAACCCATAACGCGAGAAGGCGACAAGCATCGAACAACACAAGGGAAATCACTGACGTTTGCCTCTTTGGGCCCTCTTGGGGGTCCTCGTCGAGCGCTGTAGGGACTTCTTTGGGGCCTCCTGGGCCGTCTTAGGGTCCGTCTTGGGCATCTTGGAAAGCTCTTGGGCTGTTTTGGAGGCCTCTTGGTCCACTTTTTTGCACTTTTTGAAACTTTCTGGCCGCTCTGGGCCGCCTCTGGGAAGCGAACCGGGAGGGTAGCAAACACGTTTCCAGGATGGTTGCGGACTGTGCGCCCTCCAGGCCCAGGGGGGCGGTATTAGTTATGATCATTACTTTGACGATCGTGATTTATTAATAATATGATAATGATGGTGATGGTGATGGTGCTGGTGATGATGCTGATGATGCTGATGATGACGGTGCTTATGGTCATCATATGTTGTGTTAGCTTCATTCGTATTACTGCTGTTGTTGGGGATATTATCATCAGTATTATTTTTGCGATAATCATCATCATTATGAACATATTTTTTTCCCGACCCTCCTGCATCGGGTGCTCGTTCTGGATAGAACACTGCGGTCGCACATCCTCGCGTTCCCTTTCCCCTTTTCTCGTGCCTCTGACCTCGCAACTTCCTGCGTGCCAGATTGCTTCCTGCCTGGCCATTCCTGTGCGTCTGCGATCTGCGAAACCGTCGCCATTTTCGAGGGTTGCTGGGGGGTCCAGCGGGGTGACGTGCTACGCAGACTCAGATTCGACCTCCCCATTCTTGTGGGGCTGCGATCTGCGAAACTGTCGCCATCTTCGAGGGCTGCTGGGGTCCAGCGGAGTGACGTGCTACGCAAACTCGGATTCGACGTCGCCGCTTTCGAAGGAAGTCGGGGGGTCCAGCGGAGTGGCGTGCCACACAAACTCAGATTCGACCTCGCCATCCTTGTGGGGCTGCGATCTGCGAAGCCGTCGCCGCTTTCAAGGGCTGCTGGGGGGTCGAGCGGAATGACGTGCTACGCAGACCCAGATTCGACCTCGCCATCCTTGTGGGGCTGCGATCTGCGAAACTGTCGCAAACGGTCGCCGCTTTCGAAAGTTGCTGGGGGTTCACGCGGAGTGACGTGCTACGCAGACTCAGATTCGACCTAACCATCCTGCGGGGCTACGGTCTGCAATGCTGTCACCACCTTCGAGGGCTGCTGGGGGAAGAGCGGAATGACGTGCTACGCAGACTCAGATTCGACCTCGCCATCCCTGTGGGGCTACCATCTGCGAAGCTGTCGCCCTTCGAAGGAAGTTGGGGGGTCGCGCGGAGAGACGTCTTACCCAAACTCGGCCTCGACCGCGCCATCCTTGTCAGCGATCTGCGAAACCCTCGCCACTTCAGGGGGTTGCTGGGGGATCCAGCGGGGCGCTGTGACGGGCCGCCTGCAGACCTGGCAGCGCGCCTTCGAGCGTTTAGCTCCCGCACGCAAAAACGCAGGAAGGACACCAGGAAACTGGCGGGCGAGCTCGGCCTCGCTCGCTCCTTGCACAACGCATGCGCAGGCTGAATAATTTAGCCGGGCGCCGCAGCGACATAGCGCAAGCAACGCTGCATCTGTAGAGCACTACCCGCAAAAAAAAACACTCTCCGGTCTCCTCCCGTCGCTTTCGTCGTCGTCTTCTGCCCCCTTGCCGCCTTCCCTCTGCTGCTGCCGCGCTGACGGGTCGGCCCCCCACGCGTTCTTCTCCTGCCCTTTGTTCCCGCCCTCAGGACCCTTCATGCCTGGGCCTTCGCTCCTCGCCCTCGTGTGGTTGTCCTGTGCATCGTGCCACGCGGGCGCATCCCATGTGGCTTGCACAACATACAACGGCGCCTGCACTGTCATTGTCCTGAAAAGTGTGTGCCAACTGTTCTTGTCCTTTCATGCAAATGGGTAGGGTACGTCGAATGATTATTCGTATTAGAACTATTATAGCTACGGTGGTTAATATTATTATTAGTATTGTTATTCGCATTATTCTAACTGTTACTAGTACGGTCAATAAAGCGATCATTAACATCGCTGCTACCAATCATATCCGTACGATGATTAATATTATCCGTGTTGTCCGTTTTAGTAGCAATATTACTATTGTTTCTGCTACCGTTACTATTATCGTTATCATCACAACTAAGATGTACATGTTTCACTCGTGTGAATCGTACCACTGAAATTTGTATTCGCATTCGTATAGCTAGTCTGATAGTGCCAATAATTTCGGCAACGTGAATACTAATGTATGTACATATGCGTGCGTATGTACTTCCTCCGTGCACAGATCTATGCACATACATACATACACATATATCAGCCACCTTGCCTCTGGGCACAGGCTAAACGTGTCCTCAGGTCCTTTGCCTAATCCCTGGACCCTGAGTCCTGTCCAGAGGAATATTTAAGGGGCCCGGAGCCCAACTTCTCAAATCAACTGGGGCTTCCCCTGGGTTCCAGGACGTCTTCTCGCATGACTTGCTCGGACCCAAGAGGGCCAGAAGACGGGCCAAGAAGGCCCCAAGCGGCCTCCAAGACGGCCCCGAGACGCCCAAACATGGCTCCAAGATGCCCAAGATGGCCTCAAGATAGCCCGAGAGGCCTCCAAGACGCCCCAAGACCCCACGAGGTCTCCCAAGATGGCCCTCAGAGGCACAAGTCATTGACTTCCCTTGAATTCTTCAAAGGATTTTGGCGTTCTCGCCTTATCGGCTTTCCGACGTTCCAAGACGGCCCAAGAGGCCCCCAAGACCAACCCAAAACGGCCAAAGAGATCTCCAAGAGGGCCCCAACACGGCAAGAGCGTGAGAATGATCGCGGGTCACTGCCTTCATTGCCCGACATTCTCAAATCGCCGACGTCATTATTCCTTCATGACGTCGACCCCGAAAGGCCTTGACCCATTCCCCGGGACCGGCGTCTAATCCTGAATAGTTTTTTGACAGTCCAGGGGTCCGGCATAGGGCTCCAGAGGCCGAAAACAACGAAATACCTCCCGTCGTATTTTTGGTCGTGACCCGAGGGGGTCTGGGTTACAATTCACGGGCACGCCCTCCAACAGGCGGATGTTGGAAGAAAGATGAAGATAGTAAAACAAAAATCAAAAATAGTCCGAAGAGCACGAAACATCGTTCCCAGACTATTTTTGTACTATGGTTGAATAATCCTCTTGTGCAGGGACATGCCCTACTTAAAAATATACATATCCACTGCTCCCTAGCCAGGTCCATCCTGAGCCCAGGAGCGGTGTGGTGTATATGCCCTCCTGTCTTGGCCGGGGAGGCATGTACATCGCTCCTGGGCCCAGGATGGGCCTGGACAGGAGCAGTGGAAATGTATAGATTTCGTCGCCCTGAGTGAAGACATGCTGCGAGAGAACTCGGCTCGGCTGGTTGCCGTGAGAAGATGGTCCGTACTGCGCGCTAGGCGCTCGCTCGGTCTGTCGCCCGGTGCCGCAAGGTGGGCCGCCAGTCCAGCTCGTCCGGAGCGTCGAGGGTCTGGCGCACAATGCTTGTGTATAATCCCTCTCTCGAGCCAGGACACGCGGGGAGGGTGTGGAACAACTCCTGAGCAATGTGCGTGCGCGCACGTGTACGAGCGCGCACATGTCTGAACGCCGCGTTCGCTCAAGACTATCTCGTGTGGCGCAGCCTCTCCCTGCATCACTCTGCACTTGACATGTGCTTGCGGACTGTTTCTGGCTGGCCACAATGCGGGAGCAACCAGATAGTGTCCAATACACCGAATTGATGCTCCCAATACTCTGCTGCAAGAGGGGGCTGACGATTCGACGTAGCGGATCGAGACGGTGAATGGGCAGGGGCGGGCATGGAGAGAGAGAGAGAGAGAGAGCCAGATGGAGAGAAGCTTGGACAGGTAGCTAGGGAGGGAATCGGCGAGCGGGGAAGCGCACTGCGAACGCGCACGCCGGACCCGTTGGCGACGATATGCAGACCTGACGCAGGGGTCCAGGAACACCGAAAGAGAACAGCGAGCTCATGTGGGCTTCTGACCGGACATCGCACCTCGCCGACCCGAGTTTCGCTCATATGCCTCACAGGCCTCTCTCGCGCAGACTGCTGCCTTTGGCCGCTGGGCCCGGCCTCCAAACCGCAGGCCTCGTATCGCCCTTGCCGCAGCCTGCTCCGGGTGGGGATGAAAGGACTCACGCTGGCCTCGGATGCTTTCGGGGAGCGGGCGGGGAGAACAGAATGCCGGGCCGCGTGCACGCCTGCCCCGCACACCCCCCTGGGTGCCTCACGACCCGGCGAGCGGACTCGCAGCAGATGCCGCACGGCCGCGCCCCGCCCCGAGCTGCACCCCGAGGGTCGTCGGCGCCGGGGAAGACGCTGAGGGCAGGGGAGCGCTGCCGAGCTCCGCGCCCGGCGCGGAGCGAGACGGAGCCGAGGGGTGCAGGCCCCCCCCGTGGGGACGGTGCAGCCTTGGCCCTCCATACCATCTCCCTCCTTCACCCTCGTCTCCTTCTCCCTCCACGCCCTCTCCCTCTCCCTGGGAGGGGGAGGGGGTGAGGGAGGTCCTCGAAACCAACCCGTTCATAAACGGGCTGTGTCAGACAACCGCCGGCCGCCTGGGGGCGCGAGGCCGTGAAGACGTTGCCGCTGGACTGCTGCCCTGTGCTCTTTGTGCCTCTGTGCTGTCTTCACCTGTTCCTCCCCAAGCCGATCTCCTTACTACTGGTTGCTTTTAGGAGTGGGGGAGGCTCCAATTCTTGGCTGCCTTCATTTCCACGAAGAGTCCCACAGGGACGCCACTGCACGGCCAGGAGGGTCCACCACGCCTCAAAATGCGGCCCCAGGAGGCTCGGAATAGAGCCGCAGGGGTCCGAGACGGCCCAAGCAGGCTCGAAGACGTCCCAAGATGGCCTCAAGACGGCCAGATACCCCAAGACACAACAAGATGGCCCCGAGAGGTCCTCCAAGCGGGCTTCCAGATACCAAACTCATTGGCTTCCTTGATGTGTGTTTGATGTAGATTCGCAATTTCGCCTTTTCGGGATTCTGGGAGCCCAAGACGGCCCAACATGCCTCCAATATCATTCCAACAAGGCCCCAAAGGCCCCCGAGCGAATCCCAAGAGGGCCCAGATGGCCGAAGATGCCCCCAGGAAGGTTCAAAGACGGCCCGAGACTCCAAGACGGCCCACGAGGGCCCTCGAAACCCGAGCCAAGACGGCCAACAGGGGCCCAAGAGGGCCCCAACAACAAAGTCCCAAGACAGCCCCAGGGCGGTCCAAAACAACCAGAGCGACCCCGAGAGGCCCGCCAAAGACCTCCCAATATGGTGTCAGGAAGTCCCCAGGAGGGCGCAGGAGGGCCCCACGAGGAAGAGGGAGAGTGAGAGGAGCTGAAGGAAGAGACCACGCGGAAGAGCAAAAGGAAACAAACGAGGAGGAGTATGGCAAGAAGGAGGAGGAGGAGGAGGAGGAGGAGGAGGAGCACCTTATGAAAACCCTCAGAAACACCAGTCGTGCTCAGGAGGAGGAGGAGGAGGAGGAGGAAGAGGAGGATGAGAGCGGCAGCGTGCGGAGCACTCTCATGCAATTAGGAAAGAGGAGACAGGATGAGTAGAAGGAGGAGGAGGAGGAGGAGGGGGAGGAGGAGGGGGAGGAAACGGAGGAGGAATGAGAGCAAGCGGTCCCAACGCAGAGACTTCACGGGCTCTGGGCGCGCAATCCGCGAAGCGAGGAAATCCTTAAGATGGCTCAGCCTCGGTTCCCGAGAGCGTAGCCCTTCAGAGAAGAACTCTCTGCAGTAGCCAATCCTGAGCCCACTTCTCCCATGGCATGAGCGTGTTTCTATCATGTGGGGCCCTGCTGGGATGCCAGTGTCTTCTTCTCGTGGCATAGTACGTGTCTGCTGAATGACTTTCAAGACGCAACAATGTCAGCATGCAGTGTTCCACGATCACGCGTGTGCAGCGGTCCCATTCGTGCACAGACCGGCAGAACTACTCGCCGAGCTCTAGGTGACAACCCATCGAGCAGATGCCACAACTTCTGGGGTGCCTCTGGAAACGCCGTTGCGAGGGCACCGCCACCCGCCACCCTGCCGCGAGGCGCGGGCCTGGCGTGCCCTCGGGCCCCTTGTGGTCCTCAGCCCGCCGGCCCTCTGGATCCAGCGCCGAAGGGCCCAGGCCCCAAATTCTCAGGAGGAAAATGAGGAGGAGGATGAAGAGGAGGAGGAGGAGGAGGAGGAGGAGGAGGAGGAGGAGGAGGAGGAGGATGAGGAGGAGTATGATGATTACGAGGTGGAGGAGGATGAGGAGGAGGCGGAGATGTTCTCCGGGGGCCCCGGCGTGCCCCCCGCCGTTCCCCGCCGCTTCCGACTCCTCGGGGCCGAGAGCGCCCGGAGGACGGGCCACGCGGGCCCCAAGACAGGCACGGTGGCGAGAGGGGCCGACGGCCAGCAGATGCCCACCCTCCGCCACGCGATGCTCAAAGTTTGGGGGCGGTCGAATCCGCCCCACGATCCCCCGCCCTCGCGACGCCCTCCGACGCAGTACTTCCCTCGACCCTGTACGCCGCCCCAAGGCGCGCCTGCGGCTGCAGGGCCCTCTGCGCTGCAACGGCACCGCTGTGGCTGCCCACGGGCGCACGGTGCGACGCGGGGCCCGGGTGCGCCTGCGGCTCGCCGAGGAGCTCAGGGAAAGGCACGACGAGGGGAAGGCTGAGTGAGCATGAGACGAGACGAGGCCACCCTACACGCACAGGGGTGCGCCACTATTGAGAGCGGGGGGAAGGGGCCCTGAACGTGGAAGGCTCAGCTGATGATGGGGTAGATCTTGACGCGCTGGGGCTAAACATTGCCATCGGCACAGACATTGTCAAACAGGTAGACTCGGGTGCACTCCAGATCTCGAGCTGTCGAGTCGGTGACCAAATTAGTCCGTGTAGGGCTAAGTGGGGATAACGTTTATCACATGGACGTGTGGGAACCACCTCTCCCGCTGTTGGTAGATCTCTTCTAGATTGGCGTCGCAGTGAATCACAATGGGCGTCGCAGTGAATCACAATGCTCACGGGCAGTAGCTCTGTTTATCGTCGGCAGAGACTGTTGAAATGATGGGTTATGGGTAGTTCAAATAGGGTCAACAAACGTATGCGACGCCCCACGTATTGGCTCCCAATCGTGGGAACCACGATTTAAGGCCGCTCGCGCACCAGGCTAGGGATCAACACGGCAATCCTCTTGGCATGCATAGAATGGGGACGGAAATGAGGGGGGAATGCCCAACAAAACACGTCCAAGATTAACAACGGCACTGCTGGGCAGGCGACGTTTGCTCCAAATGGACACCTTCCCCGGCGGCTCTGGAAGCGAATGCTGTTCAAACTGGACAGGACCTGCCCTCGGTCTTTGTCCGCATCTCTTCCACCACATTGTCGATCCTCCCGATCCTCTCGCGTGCATCAAGGCCACGGGGTTCTTTTCTGGTCGACTAGACCTCTATACCCTCTGGCTTCTCATGCTGCGATTCCTCCTCCTGCACGCCTGTTAAACGTGGCACCATGATCGCCAATGCATTAGCTCACTGGGCAACTCAAACCGCGAACACTTCAACACATGACGGACACATCTGCGTGATATTCTCGTTGCCGATGAGGCGCGCGCGCGCGTGGCTGCTGCAGAGCAAGAGCCAGACGATGCCCCGTGAAGCATGTGACACCTCTCTGGCTGTCCAGATTTTCTATCGGAAGGTCCAGCCCACCCTTGCAGACGAGCAACTTCATGGGGATCGTGCGCCGACCGAACACCACCCTCCAGAGGCGCCACGGGAAAGCACGCAGGTGGCTGTCACACCCGTGTGCAGCAGGCCGAGGTTTTGTCAGCCCGTTCGGCCGCGCCCCTTTCCCTCTTGCCGCGAGCCTGTCCTGTCCTGTCGTGCCCGCTTCTCGCCAGGTGCCGAGCGATGCCGTCCGGGCAGGGTCCGGGACAAGCTCGTGGGAGGCTGCAGGTCACAACGTTCCAGATGATCCAAACAGCATGCGCCCTGAACTCCCATCACCACCTCGGGGGCGAGCGAGAGGGGAAAGTGAGAAAGAGAAAGCCTTCTCAGAAGGCTCGGAAGTCCCCCGGCAGTCTGAGAAGCTTTCTGAGCCTTCCTCGAGACACAGGAATACTCTCTCAGAAGGCCAGAGGGCTTCTGAGAAGCCCCGCCGCCTTCTGAGAGGGCCTTCTCCTTCTCACTTCCCCCCCTCGCTCGCCGCCGACCACATTCTGTCAGTCTCGCCAAGTCCACGGTGGGATTCCCCCCCCTGCTGCTGAAAGTTCGATGCCAACAACTCGGGACTGGGCCGGCGCGTCGCTGACTGCACATGTTCTGGACGAAAGGAAGACGACGAAAGGCCACGGCCAAGGGCGGAAAAGGGGGAAACGGATGATGGAGTATGACGAGGAACGTGGAGTGGGGCGGGGGTGCGCACGTGTGTGGAGACGAATCCGACAGACAAACCACCCCTGTTGGCAAACCGACGCAGCTAGGCCTACGGTTCGCCTGGCATGATTGCGCACGGCCCACGTGACGGACTGTGGGCACCCAAAGCAAGGCTACCAGACGAACGCGATGGCCACGATCCCAAGCCTTCGATACCTTGATTTTTTCGAGTCGCCGACCCTGCAGAACTCCCGACACCTTCGCCGGGGCTATATTTTCATCCTGCGTTGATCTTTGACGGCCCTGGGGCCTGGAGATGGCTAGCAAACGACGGAACTAATGAACATGATCGACCCACGAACCCGGAAAGGGATTTAGAACTCCGAGGCATGGGAACGTGTCCAAGCACCTCAATTGGGCGATGGGCAGTGGCAAAGCTGAAGATATCAATGATGATGAGATTATGCCAACGGCTATGTTGTGCTGCTCTGCGCAGTGCTGCGCCGCATGGTGACGCGCCAGGGATGCGTCACAGAACGTGCCAGTGGAAGTGCCAGGGGACATGCCGCGTTGAACTGTGCCATGCGCTATTGCATTGTGGGTCAAGCCGTCCTTGGCGTCATCATCCTGACCGAACTGATTTGGATCTTAAGCTCGAGATGTCTGAACGCGCAGCTCGGGCTAGTTGTAATCGAGACGCGCGGGGCGCTCGACCAGCTCGAGCTCAAGATCCGATTCGGTTCCGCAACCCTCGCTCGAGATACTCAGACATAGAGCCAGACGACCACATGTTGGATATCTCCCTGTGTAGACTGGACGCGTGAAGTCGCGGTTCCAGCTCGGGACAACCATGTTAAATAACCCCCTGGGCGGCATGGACACGTGAAAATACATGGTTCCAACTCGGGGTTACCATGTTATACACCGCCCTGGGTGGCCTGGACACGTGAAAACACATAGTTCCAACGAGGGGCAACCATGTTGAATACCTCTACTGGGCGGCCCTGACACGTGAAAATATATGGTTCCGGCTCGGGGCCACCATTGTTCGATACCCCTCTGGGTGGCCTGGACACATCGAAACACACGGTTCCAGCGAAGGACCACCATCTCAAATACCCCCCTGGGCGGCCTGGGCCACCGTGCTCGATACCTCCCTGGGTGACCTGGACACATGAAACCACGTAGTTCCAACGAGGGGCAAGATGCGCTGCCCCGCCTTCCTGGGCGGCCTGGGCAGGCACAAACACGGGATTCCAGCTCGGAACGACCATGCTCGACACCCCCACGGGTGGCCTGGACGCTTGAAAACACATGGTTCCAACTCGGGACCCTCACGTTCGACACCTCCCTGGGTGGCCTGAATACGTGAAAACACGTGGTTCCAGCTCGGGACAACCATGTTATATACCGCCCTGGGTTAGGGCACGTAAACATACGTGGTTCCAGCTCGGGACCACCATGTTAGATATCCACCTGGGTGGCCTGGACACCTGTCAAACATGTGGTCCCAGCTCGGGAGCACCATGGTTCGATACCCCACTTGGAAATCTGGAAAATCACTAGCCGAAGGAAACCGTGCCAGGTCATTGCGCATCTGGTGTCGATCTGTTGGTTTTGCCAGGCTCTCGTAGGCCCCCACGCTGGGGGCGCCCAGGCGACCACATGTTACATACCCCCCACACTTGGGTTGCCTGAACACTTACAAAAACACGTGGTTCCAACTCCGGGCCACCATGTTAGATACCCCACTGGGTGGCCTGGACACGTGAAAACACGTGGCTACACCTCGTGAGCACCATGTTAAATACCTCCCTAGGGTGGCCTGGACACATGAAATAGCGCTGTTCCAGCGAGGGGTAACATGCAACCATCTTAGATATCCTCCCCCCACTTGGCTGGCCTGAACTCGTAAAAAAAAGAGGTTCCAGCTTGTGACCACCATGTAGGATACCTCACTGGGCGGTCTGGACACGTGAAAACGTGTAGCTCCAGCTCGGGACCACCATCTTCGATCCCTCCCTGGGTGGCCTGGACACGTTAAAACATATCCCATCTGGGGACAACCAGGTTAGATACCTCCCTGGGCAACCTGGGCACGCGAACACAAGCATCTCGCCTGAGACATCCCTTGAATTTTGGCCCCCAGGAGATGATCCATCTATAGGGCAACACGAATGAATCGCTCGAAACACCCTCAACCAATTATGCAGAAACAAATTTCGCTCGAGAAACCCGCAACGAACGACAATGTTAACTTTACCATGTGTTTTATCGATCGGCATTAAACAAACAGCGTTTCGCTCGGGGCTTCCTCAACATGTAATCCGCTGGCTCTCTTCGACCTTACTCATCGCGAGTGAATCCGCTGGCCCTCTTCGATTTTGGCAGCGGGGGCAAATTTACCTCACTGAAAAAGAACCCGGGGCCCGAGCCTTTTCCGGGCAAAACCTTCTGCGCAATTGTCACGAGTCGCCAGGAGGCCTGGAAATAACAAGGTCAACGGGGGCTTCTCTTCTCCTGTGGCAGCTCATGGGAGCCGCCCATGCCATCGTGTCGGCTCTTGCGAATCAACACCAAATCGACACTAGTCGGCGCTACTCGACGCAACGTCGGCGCTATCTCATCGACTATCACATGTTTATCGACGCTGAAGTACTCGAATGACGGAATTTCGAGGGCATATAATGCTTCCATGATATGCTACTGAAGGAAATCAGGAAACACCTATTGCGCAACTCTCATGATTTACCAGAAGCCTGGGAATCGATCGGCCCTTGGTGGCCTCTCTTCCGTCGGGGCGGACAAACATAGAGGAGGAAGAAACGGCATAAGCGTAAACTTCGGGAGGTCTGCACGCATTTCCTGGATCGGCGCTGGACCTCCCTCCCCTGGCGCGGCGGCGCCTGAGGCGCCGCTAGGGGGGCCCCAGTGCATACCCAAGAAATCCGCGCGGAGCTCCAAACATTTGTGTTTAGGTCATTGTTTGTTTCCTGATTCTCCTCTCTCGGGGCGGGCGAACCTAAATCTGGCATGGAGGAAACGGGTCCTGCGGGAAACTGGCCCTGGACGCTGGGGCCTTCCCCCACGACGAGCTCTTCATCCTGAGTCGTTTTCTGACAGTCCAGGGGCCCGTGAAGGGCCCCGAGAGCTCGAAAACAGCGAGCATGATCGACCCACGAACCCGGAACGGATCTAGAAGTGTTCAGCATGGCGACGTTTCAAGAGACCTGAACGGGCAACGGG